TTTTATTGATCTACCTGGTCTGGTTTAAAATAAGCAAGCAAGAAAAATATTTTCCAGGGTAGGACTTTATACATTAAAACACCCAAGTGTCTTCCTTAGCAGTTATTGTAGTTCCATAACAGGGAGACTTATCCATCTGGTGCTCTCAAGGTAATTGGACTGCAACTCCTATTTGCCCTACTGAACATGGCAAAATCACCATGAATAAAAGAAGCAGTAGGCCAAAAACATTGGGAAGGATCACTCTGGGGATGATGGTGGGCATTTCCACATGGCTTCATTTATACTTTCCAATCATTCTAAACCATTCTGAAGCTGGATTTTTGATCATCTTCACCACTGCAGACATTGGTTAGTGTACCAATAGGAGTACCAAAACCATTACTCAATCAATGCCCTCCACTATCTACTATAGGCCCTAGATCAACAGTAACAACAACAACTTGTCAAACACACACACTAATATGAAACAAAAGAAATTAAACAATTGTTACCTTGCCTACAAATCCATATTTCTAGAACATATTGTGTATCAATTTTGATCTTCTAGACCAGCTCCAGGGGTTGGTAATGGGGGGACACCATTTTACATTGGTCCTTTTTCTTCCTACAGGGCTGGTTCCAGTTGGTGTTGGTTGGAAGAGAAAGTTCACTCCCTCTCCTCAACCCCTCATTTGTGGGGTGCCACAAGGCTCGATTCTCTCCCTACTCTTTTTCAACATCTATGTGAAACTGCTGGGTGAATTTATCCACCAATTTGGGGCTGGGTACCATCAGCATATGGATTCTTTGACACCAGGCCAGCCAAGTAAGACTATTGAGATCCTGCCCCCGTACCTGGAAGCTGTGTGGGTCTAGATGTGGAGGAAATCTTTGACTCAGTCCTACCAAGACTGAGTAACTGCAGGTATTGGGGCCAGTTGGTTCTGGGGATAATCCATTTTTGGTCTTGGATGGGTAGTAGTTCCCCATTCAAGGGTAGTGCACAATCTGGGGGCCTTCATGGACTCAGCTCCTGTTTGATGAACATATGGTAGCTGTGTCCAGGAAGTTGCACCCTTTCCTCAATTGGGAAGCTCTTCAGACAGGTACTCATGCCCTAGTCACTTCACCGTTTGAATATTACAATGTGCTCTATATGGGACTGCCCTTGAATACCACTTGGAAACTTCAACTGGTCCAGAATCCAATGGCATTGGCAGTGATGGGCATGCCTTGATATGCTTATGTGACATTTTTTTCCTGCAAGCTGCACTGGGTGTGATTCAAGGTACTGGTTATAATGTATAAAGCCCTGTATGGCATAGGCCATGGTTATTTGAGGTGGTGTTTGCCCAGCCAATTCAAGCTGACAGGGTTGGCACACTTGGGATTCCTTTGATTAAACAATGTCGTCTATCAGCACCCAAGAAGCATACTACCTCCTCTGCCACTGTGCCTGATCTCTAAAATGAGGTTCCCACTGAAACCTCGTTTCTGGGAGGCCATAATGATTCTGGGTGGCCATAGCGATCTGGCTGTTCTCCCAGACCTTGTGGTTCGGTGACTGGAGTCCCTTCTGCTGGATATGAGGTGGTTTGAGGGTATCTGCCCAGTTTGCTATCTTGTTCTTCTTTCTTTCTCTTCTGTTCTAGTTTGGTTCTGTTGTTTGTTTCTTCTTATTATATTGTTTTTATAATGTCTGGTGTATTGTGTGCTGCCCAAAGTCATTTGGAGTCAAGTGGCATCAAATTGAATAATAACAACAACTATGGTTTCTAGTTGTTGGAGTGCAGGTATTGTTATAAACAATATCTACAGAGAAGTGCCATGAAAGAAGAAAGGGAAAAGACAGAATTGGCTCCAGAATTTGGAGCCATTGGTTTTGGAACAACAAACACATGGGGCAGTTGCTCTGCCCTCCCACACTCAAAAGCCCAAAAAATAACCTGGCACTTTGCGTTTGTTCCCCTGCTTAAGAGAAGGAGAAAATAACCAAAACTCTTGTCAGCTTCACCCAGTTCCCTTGCCTGGGTTACTGTGGAGGGGAGAATATGTATACTTGGAACAATCTGCAGAATCAAAACAGAGCACAGTGTTTTGGGGCTGCACTGGGGTGATGGAGTAATTACAGTAAAAAAGGACCTGTGGAGTTTTCAAGCCACCTGCCCCTTTAAGGGCCTCTAAACTGATTACAATTAGTCCTCACTTAGTGACCACTCATTCAGTGACCATTTGAAGTTATGATGGTATTCAATGAGGGGGACTTACAACTGGTCCTTGAAGTTGCAGTTGTCACAGTGTCCCTGCGGTCACATCATGGCGATTCAGGCACTTGCACAGACACTGCAACTGTAAGCTTGCACCCACAACAGTTGCAGTGTCCGTGGTCATGTGATCACCATTTGTGACCTCCCCTGCTGGCTTCCACAAGCAAAGCCAATGGGGAAGCTGGCAGGAAGTCACAAGTCCCAGTCACGTGAGGTCCTGGCTTAATGACCTGCAATCCCCACTTAACAACAGTAACAGAGACTGCTGGGATTGCTGTTGCTAAGCAATGCAGTCACATGACATTGCACTTTATGACCACACCACTTAGCAATGGGACTTCCAGTCCCAATTACTGTTGTTAAGCGAGGACTACCTGTAATATATCAGCTGAAGCCTGAAGGGACAGTAGGTTCCTGCCAGTGGGAAAACAATCTGCCCACAAGGTCTGGAAAGGGAAAAACTCACTTCTTCTGCAATTTCATATACAAGCTGATGTGCATGCTGAAGCACATCATTATCCAATGGGAACAGTCTAAGAATAATTCTTCAACTGGAATTAACTGAGCATTTTGATATCATATCATTCAGTATGATACAATTGTCTTCAAGTTGCTTTATAGACATTATTATGAAAGGACAGATGCTTAGCTCCTTGTCCCAAAGCTCATCTCCCCAAGAAGTCTCACCTCTGCGGCTCCTCAATCTGCCGCCTGCTGTGCTTCCTTTGACCCATTTGCCAAACTGCATAGAGCACATCCACTTTTTCCCGTCTTCCTGACTCATGAGATCAGGAGTCAATTTACAGATCATCAGATCCACAAAATGGGTTTGCAAGTCTTCCACTGACATCCTATGATTAAAGAAAAAAAAGGCTTGCTTTATGACCACAGAGGTAAACAAGGAACAGGGTTTTGATTATGTGGGCATGGCCAACAAACTAACTTTTTTAACCTTCCCCTTGTCACCTTGTCTAATTATCGTTGATAAAAAGGATAGGTATCACCAAAGTAGAGGATAGAAGAAAATGTCGATTTGTGAAAAATGCCTGACATATTGTCAGTGTTAAAACATGACTTGGAGTGTGAGAGTGAAAAGGAAAGAGCAAAGAAAAATTAGATGGGGAATATTATCAGTCAAAAAGCATAATATTAAAGTCTATGTTGATATTGCCACCTAGCGGTAAAATGCTATAGTATGAAAAAATGGAATAAATCCCATTTTATGGCTCTGTGGGTATGGGGGTGTATGCATTTGCACACATGTGAAAAAGGTGTGCATGTAAAATATTTGTGGGAAATGTGTGCATGTGAATGTATATGTGATGACATGAGTAAGAATATATGTGGAAACATGTGACAGGCTTTCTGTTTTCACAAATGGCGCTTTTTAAACCAAACACTAACCTACTTGTAAAGATTTCATTGGGGTAGGTTGGAATAAGATGTGTCTGATTTTATCACATTTTAGGTTAGGCTCTTATATTTCAATGGTAATGTGTTGATATGCCTTAGTGTATCATTCAGGCAACATGCAAAGGTCCAGGCCATGTAGGAAGAGGTCCTCTCTAGCGCTGTACCAAAAACAGGAGTGTAGCTGAATCAAGCAGGCTTTTGAAGCCTCTGCATCATAGTTCAGAAATGTTCATTTTCTCTTGAGACACAAGAAACAATGTACAGTCCTTACAACAGACATTTCTATCTCAAATAAAACTTGATTGGAGAAAATATCTATTAAGCCTAGGCAAAATGGGTATAATCTCTCTCACTGCTTTGCTTCAAGCATTAAAAGCAACACAGTCTGCTTCCATGCTCAACATGAAGAATCAGAGATGACCCATTGAGCCTCACATACCACTCAGAGGGAGCCAATTCAGCTATTCACCTTAAGTATCCCCTTTGATTCTAAACATGAACTACACACACACAGAAGACCACTAAAGGCCAGAACAGTAGCCAAATTGAAGAAGCATGGCTGCCTGAATAAGTGAAAACACCATGCTGCTTTGCAACATGGATCTCCTTTGATAAGATGAGATGATCAAATTGAAGTGCTCCACCAAATCTCATCTCATCTCATCTCATCCAAACTCATGCTCCATACAGAAAATGCAGCAACAACTGTAACTGATAGAACTAGTCCACTACTTTCCAAGGCAACTCTACCAACTCTTAAGTTGGGAAGGTTTTTCTAATATTTAATGAGAAATCTGTTTCTCTGCAGCTCCTTCTTATTGGTTGCAAGCCTCCTTCCTGGAGCAATGGAAAGCAAGTCAGCTTCATTTTATGCATAATACTCTTTGGATGTTTCAAGATAGCTGTAATCTCTCACCTTAATCTTCTCTTTTGCAAACTAAACACATCAACTCTCCAACTTAATCAAAATCCCTACTTTATTATTGGTAATTAACCATTCTCTGCTGAACTAATTTATGCAGGAGTTTCTTATTAGCTCTCAGGTCAAACTAGAGTTAAAATGGGCTTGCTTCTAACAATCTTCCTCTGCAAACATTGGAGTCAAATATTCATATTCATTCTGACTACTCAAATATTTGATATATACTCACCAAATATCTGTTTTTCAATCTGTTACCTGGTAGATGATTTAACCCACTATTTAACGTAATAGTTAGACACTAGCTCTATAGCTGTATATCAAATGTTACTAGAATTTGATGTATGCTTCTGACATGTAATACATTTTTCTGTATCTGATTGCTAGAATCTAGGGATATCCTAGACTGAGTATACCTATTGTGGCTATGCAAAGCTTTGATGAAGCAATTCAACTGGGAGGTGACTAGAGCAAAGCACATCATTGAAGCAGGTGTGTGTGGTGTTCACCCTGTAAGAAAAGGGGCAACAGAGTTGCAGTTTGTATACCCATTCCCTTTTCCACATTTCCCTGCTTCAGCCCCACTGTTTCTATTCAGAGGCATGATCTTAAATGAAGAGGATTGTCCAAAATAGGACTGAGCAAGAGCATCTGGGAAAAGGATAGACTGAAAGACAAACCCATTTATTATTTCATGAAAGTACCAGAATTCTCCATCCTCAGAATTTCTTCGTAGCAAAATCTTCTCTTTGGGGCTGAGCAGCTCCCATTTTCCAGAGCTAAAGGGAGTGAAAAAAGATGATTGTAAAACAGAGCTCACTCAGCTTTGATGCACTGAGAATTATAGGTTCAGTGAAGGTCTCAACCTCAGACAATGGGTTCAGCTCAGAAAGAGCTTCTGCTGAACACAGCTATCTCTGGACACCCAGAACTTACCTATTCTCATTTCTCCAGTCCTAAATTAATGAGGCATGTTTGTTTGTTTGATATATAATTTTTGCAGCACAAAATTCAGAGGAACGTGAATTTTAGATAATAACTGCAGCTTGGTTGATACATTACAGGTAGTCCTTGCTCATTGATCATAATTGGGACCAGGAACTCCATCGCTAAGCAATGCGATCATAAGGCATGATGTCATGTGACCATGCCAACTTATGACAGCAGTTCTGGCAGTCCCAGTTGCTGTCATTAGCCAAATCCTCCATGGTTGCAGTCTCCTGCAGTCACATGATCGCCATTTGTGACCTCCTGCCAGCTTCCCCATTGACTTTGCTTGTCAGAAGCCAGCAGTGAAGGTCGCAAATAGCGATCATGTGACCGTGGGATGCTGTGGCATCATAATTGCAAGTTGGTCACCAAGTGGCCAAATCTCAATCATGTGACCACAGGGATGCTGTGACAGCAACAAATATGTGGACCCATCATGAGGACCCCTCATTCAGCACCATTGTAACTTGAAATGGTCACTGAATGAGTGGATGTTAAACAAGAACTACCTGTAGTTTAAATGTGCAAAATACATAAATTCATATTAAAATATGGTCCCGATGAATTTTTCCCCTTTTTTCTACCCTGGTTAATCCTCAAAATATTTTTGCATATAAGGAGCTCCACCACAGGTGATCCATATAAAGACTGCTTTAAGAGGAAGTCAGCTGATTTATTATGTAAATTTACTTTCTATGGAATCCTTACATATGTGATTGTTAATGTACAGGTTAGTTTTTATATAATTAATGCATCTACTTTCTGTTAAATTACAGATTGTCAAGTTCAGCCCGAGAATCACAACGAGACAGTCCAGAAATCAGCTCAGCTTCTTTATTAGCTTTCACCTAATAAAGAATCTCTCCAGACTAATTCTAACCCCCAACAACAGCAACTATAACCCTGATGCCCTTAGGGAGGGGCCAGTCTCCTCCTCTTGACTTTCCCACACTCCAGCTGGGGGCTGAGGAGAGGCTTTCCCTGAAACCCCTCTTCCCCCTCCCGGCAACCTTGAAGCTCCCTTCCAGAATCCCTTCCAGAATCTCCCCCCTCCCTGTAACCTTGAAGCTCATGCCTTCCATCACTCAGATAAAGTTATTATTGATATTGCTATTATTGATTAATTATTATTAATCAATATTAATTGATTCTATATCTTTAAAACAAACAAATAATATCATAACTGAAAATCAATGCTACCAGGGACAGCTTTTTAAAAACTTTAGCAGAAAAAGATTCAATTCCTGTGGATTTTCTAACCCATCATAACTGCTTATAGTTATTGTTGATATTCTCACTTCTGGTCAAGATATGTTATTTTAAAATGAATCTAGGGTGCTGCAGTTCCTAGTAAACAAATAATAGTGCTGAGAGTTTGATGTGTTTTGGATTAAACATATTATGCATTAGGAATTGAAACCAGGGAAAGTTATAAAGTGTCTTTTTCATACAGCTGTACCACCATGTTTTATTTTCTAATCTTTGGGGTTATGTGTTTAACATTCATCCAAATTCAGTTCCACTAGTGCTGTCTGGTCTTTCAGAACAGCTCAAAGTGTTGCGTTCTAACTGATGAGGTTGTCTGTGTTAATCTCTGCCTGCAGGTGGCACTGAGATTTCATCCATCTGAAGTGTCACTTTTTCTTGCTGTAAGAACTCACCTGTCACTCCAATCCCCTTTCCACTCAACTTTTCCCCAGGGATTTCTTAGTCTTACTAAATTTTCAGGTCCATGTTTGCATGTCACCTTTGGGAAACAATAACAGATTGCCACAGTAAGAATTACTGCTCCACTTTCCATTGCTTTGGTTAGCTATAACTTTCTAAGTACCATACAAGGTATCAGTATGGGCCTAGTAAATATTAAGTATTGGTTCCTAAATACTCCTAAGGGCCATCCAGTTTCCATAAACCCAATAACACATTCTGCCAGGATCTGCTCCATCAAGAAATAGTTTGCCATCTACCAAAAGAAACCAAATGGACAGCCAGTGTGCTGGAGAGCTGGGAAGAGGGCTATGGCTCCACTTCAAAGAGGATGATCTATATTTGAAGGTGTCCTGTACGAAGGGACAGCCTGTCCAAAATACAAAGATAAAGAACCAAACAGAGAGCTAAGAGGGACTTGAAGTTGCCCATCAACACTTTACATCTGAACTGCAGACTGAATAAGCACAGAAATAATCTAATCCCAGTTTTCTTTACCACAACGAGATGTATTTCTACCTAGATTACAGTATTTATATATATGTACTTATATATAAATGGATGCAGATGCTATGAAATTCTGCACCCTTCCTCTTCTCTCTCTCTCTCATTTATTCATTCTTCCTTTCTTCTTTTCTGCATAAGTGCCCTTGGCTGATTCCAAAAGCTAAGTTCTCTCAGATCTGGTTAGTACTTGGGTTTTAGGACTGGGAAATTTAAAAAAAAAAAATCCCAGAAGATGGCAATAAAAAAAAAATCTCTGTAATGTTGCCCCCCCCACAAAAAACAAACAAACAAACAAACAAACAAATTCTGCCAGAGTTATATATGTAATGACCAGTAGACCCACTTGGCTTAAAAGAAACTTTGAGTAATCTCTGCCATGATAGTCACTGAATGACAAGATTGTTGTGAGGATGCTATGATACTAAAATGAACTGGGGGTAGGAAGGAACCAATAAGTATACACATTCTCATCAAATAAATAAATATATAAGTAATAGGGTAGGGCTATATCACATGTGCAAGGCCAGAGCAATTGTTCAGAGACAGTTTAATTTGGAGTTATCTTTGATTCACCAGACTTATTTGAAATTAACTATTCTCATTTATACACACATGCAAACTTGCCATAGCCCCCATGGCTGTTCATACAGCAGCTGAGTTCAACAATTATAATCGTCACATACAATTTGCTGTGTTCACTTGACATACTTGGCCATGGTTTAGTCAATCTACTCAATTTTCTAGGTGTGCACAGCACACTGAATCATCAACTCATCACATGGGCTGAATTTGCATACCATACTAGGTTAAAATGTGGTTGGGTGGTTTGCATTCAGCATGCCAAGTGTAAACTAGATACAGGAGCCCAGTATTTTGGCCACTTGAAGAAAACACTAGACCCCTCCTTTTCCCACTGACCTCATTTTAGCAAGATGAAACTTGTTCAGCTTAGCATAGCATATGCTACTGTCAGCAGAGCTCATGAATCAATTACAGCTTTTGATTTACACAAGAGGCCAGCTATTACTCTTCTATCTTTTATTCATGCCATTAAAGGGAATATGTCTTAAAGTAAAGCAGCTCCTTAGCCATCTCTGCCTTCACAGGGTTTTGCAAAATATCATTCATAGCTTTGGTCTATATGTGGCAGCCCTATAAAGGTTTTTGTGCTACCCCAGCCCCTTCCTCATTACTGTGAATTTTCAGTCAGTTAAAATTTAAGTTAGTGATTTTAAGTCTAGCTATGATAAGAAAGGAGAGAGTGGGGAGTCAGCTTATAAATAAATTGGTTGGGGTTGGTTTAAGAAAAATGCAGATTTTATCCTAGATGTTTTCTGCTTTGCCCACAAAGCAAAGTGCAGTCCCCATACATCTGTTTCCAAAAGGCTGTAGATCAGGACTTGATACTATGGTAGCTGGTCTTGAATTGTGTACAGGCAATATTACAAGCAGATTTTTCAGTGATCCAGTGCCAGCTGCCATAAACAGCAACACAGCAAAGCTTGAAGAGGTTGGTGAAGCTAAGATTCAATAGTCCAGGTAAAGATTTTGGTGAGCCAGCTGTGACCTATCAAATACCTCTTGAAGTGCAGTCTCTGCAAATAGGCCATAAAATAACCTTCAAGTAGAGATTGCACTTGATCTGCAACAATAGTTCAAACTGCCTGGTTCACAGCTCACACTAAACCATGGCTTACTGAAAAATATACAATTAGCTGGATTCGCACAACAAACCACATCATGGCTTAGCACAATATGGGCATTTAGCAAATGGTTTTCACTTTCCTGAGCTTTGTAGTATACACATTTCTTCTAGTCAAGGATAACTTGGCAATTCAGAGAAAAGGAAAGTGAATGAAACTATGAGCCCTGGAGTACATGGAGCCTCCACGCTCTTCTCTTGTGCTCCCCAGGAACCTCTTCTGGCTATAGCTGCTGAAAATCAGCCACAGAATTGTTCTCCATTTTGAGGTAGAAAATGCACACCAAAAGCATCAAAGTGTAAGTTCTTAAACAGGCATCACATTATTACTTTTAAAAAGCTCCACTAAACTCCTCCTTGAAGCCTAGGGAAAACCAAAGGAAAAGTTCTGACACCACCCATGTCAACGTGGCCTTGCCACTTTGCATTAGTGCCCTAACTACAGTGGCCCTTAGCATACCAAAAAATGTTAAATCTGGCCTTCAGTTACCAAAAGGTTGTCTGATCATGGGCTACAGTAAGAAAAACAACAACAGCAACAGATAAACAGAAACACAAAATGAAAGTCAGAAAATCCAATAGTCAGGTGTGAGTGAATAAAAGTATACCACATATTGCAAATGATGAGCTGTTGGCTTCATCTACTGCTTAAAAATGCTAAACACCCAGCTTATTTCTTAAATTCTTCCTTGTTATGGTCAGATAGAAGGTAAGAACATAGATTCATTAAGGAAACCATGTTTGGAATGATCAAAGCAAGTTTGCTCTTACCTTTCGAATGCCAGTCACAGTGTAGGCATGACCAGCCACTAAGCCATTCTCCAGGACTCTTGTTGGCTGTAGGAAAAACAAAATCAACCTATTTAACTGTGCTGTGAACTATCTTCCTCATTCCTAGTGAAACCAATACAGTCTGCTTTTAAGAGAAAACAACTGGCAGTTGGCTCACTATAAATACTACAACCAGCTTCAGCTAAACTCCTTAGTAAATTTTCTGTTGAGCCTATTGTGAAGTTATGTGGATGATTCAGCTGCTGGATGAAAAAAATTGTTCAGCTTAGAAAAATAAAAAACTGTTGAGGCAGGGCATGAATACAGCTTTAAAAGACTTAGAACAGTGTAGGAAAAGAGAATAGCAATAGTATCTTCTCTCTCCACATGTGAAAACATCAACATCAGATTAGTAGGCTTTATTTTTAAATAAATTACGTATTTGTATAGAATACAATTCATCTCCAAAATCTTTCTCAGAGAGATCATGCTACTGTGGAGACAATCTTAAATGACAAATAATTTATGTCTTTCATTAATGCAAGTGTTTTGGGCTTCTTTTTAAAATGAAGTCCTCACTAAGTGATTCA